AAAGTAAAAAAGTGCCTGGGCACGGTGGCTCACTCCTGTAATCCCAGCACTTTGGGAGGCTGAGATGGATCACCTGAGGTCAGGAGTTTGAGACCAGCCTGACCAACAGGAAGAAACCTCATCTCTACTAAAAATACACAATTAGCTTGGCATGGTGGCGCATGCCTGTAATCCCATCTACTTGGGAGCCTGAGGCAGGAGAGCCGCTTGAACCCGGGAGGCAGAGGTTGTGGTGAGCCGAGATGGTGCCATTGAACTCCAGCCTGGGCAACAAGAGTGAAACTCCATTTTTTTTTTTTTTAAAGTAAAAAAGTAACAGATCTGGCAAGGTTGTGGAGGAAAAAAAACCACATTCACTGGTGGAAGTGTAAATTAGTTCAGCCACTGTGGAAGACACTGTGGTGATTCCTCAAAGACGTAAGGACAGAAATACCATTCAATTAAGCAATCTCTTTACAGGGTATACACCCAAAGGAATATAAATTGTTCTATTATAAAGAGACATGCACTTGTATGTTCACTATAACACAATTCACAATAGCAAAGACATGGAATCAACCTAAATAAAGACTGGAGAAAGAAAATGTGGTACATATACACCATGGAATACTATACAGCCATAAGAAAGAATGAGCTCATGTCCTTTGCAGGGACATGGATGGAACTGGAGTCCATTATTCTTAGCAAACTAATGCAAGAACAGAAAACCAAATACTGCATGTTCTCACTTAGAAATGGGAGCTAAGTGATGAGAACATATTGACACATAAAGAGGGACAACACACACTGCGGCCTTTCAGAGGGTGAAGAGTGAGAGAAAGGAGAGGATCAGGAAAAACAACTAACAGGTACTAGGCTTAATTACTGGGTGATGAAATAATCTGTACAAAAAACACCCACGATACAAATTTACCTATGTTACCTGCACTTGTATACATAAACTTAAAATAAGTTAAAAAATTAAGTTAAAGAATACTAAGGAAACCTCTGAGCACTGGGGGGATTAGGCAGAAACCCACTGCTTTAGGGTAACTAGAAATAGCAATGCTCAAGGGTGTGGTTTTGGTTCAGGACCAAGGACAGCACCAAGCTTGCTCCCCTGACCCTCACTTGGGACTTGGCCTGTGGGACCTGAGTAAGAAATCTACCTCAAAGCTTCCTGTTCTGTCTTTGCCACATGTCTCCTGACTTCTCTGCACCTGCCTGTGGCATTCTTCCCACCTGAAATGCTTTTTCCTCTCTTGTCATGAAATATTTTCAACATAGCAAGAAGCGCAGGGAATATACTAATTACCTTTGCACCTACCACTCATGTTTAACAGATGTTGACATTTGCCACAGTTACTTCTGATCTTTTCTCTTTTAAAATGAAACTTGGCAGAGGCCATTGTAGCTTTTTTACACACCTCCTCGTCAATATTTCTCCTTCCTCTCCAGAGATGACTGTGGGCCTTCACTATCTCCCTCTTTTCTCTACCCCAGTTTTCTTCCATTCATCTAAGTCCTCCACCTTTGAGAGAGCCAGGTCAAGGCCCCTGTCCTCCAGCTCATAGTGACCTTTCTTGCGTGGCATTATTGCACTCGATTTTGGAGGGCTTATTGTGATTTATTATTTATCATCCTAGTCATTCATTCAACCTGTGCTGAACAGACCCTACTTTGATGCAGCACTCTTCTGCTTGCTGGGGTTGCAAAAATGAGTCCCACGTGGTCTCTGCTTCCAAGAGCTCACAGAACATGGCATGTGGGTGAACATTATCTTGCAGTGAGAAGGAAAGCATGTTGGGAGAAGGACTTGTCTTTAGAAGTCTGCCACAGCTTTTACACAGGAATTTGATCTCACATAAACACTTGTGGCCTTGTGATCATAAGACTGGAAATGGTGTGAGAATCAGAAGCAAGGTAGAGGTGTCTGCCCCATGTCAGGCCTTATGCAAGGCTCTTGAAATATAATATTTCATTAAATGTTCCACAAACCAGCAAGATGAGTGTTATACCTTTCTTTAACAGATGTAAAGTCAAGGGTTGGAGAGACTCCAAATCTGGTCAGAAGTGCAGTTCACATTTGAACTGAAGCTCTTTAATGTCAATGCCTGTATTGATCTGTCTCCCTCTTTAGGCCATAATCAACTCAAGACAGACTGAACCTAATTCATCTTTGTTTCCCAGACCCAGCACTGTCTCTGAGCAGATATTTGATGTGTGAACATATATGCTGCAGTAGATCTCTGGAATTAAAAGGAAACAAGGACACATGGGCCTTGCCCCCAAGGAGCTCACCATTTAGGTGGGAAGACAGACTTTGGTAACAGATGCAAGAAAGCAGTACCTAAATGTCTGTCACACAGCAAGGGATTTCTACTCTAAATGGGAGGGGGGATGATATTCTCTTTGCTGATCTAGCCTTTTAATTGAATCACACCAAATCACTTGGGTTTACAGAATTTTCTCAGGACCCCTGTTTTACTGCAGCTAAGGTTGCCTCTTTTCCCCCAAACTCTGACATTCCTGGCTCTATCCCTGTCTTCTCAATCTTCCCCATTGCTCTGTCACTCTTCAGACTTTGGGCTCAAACTTGCCACACAGATTCTCTGCTCTCTTCTTTCCCTTTGGTGTCTCTTGCTGTCTGGATGAGAATCTACTGCTCCAACCTCAGGGTCCCCATCAGCTGGACCAAACTCCACTTCACCACCTCCAAAGTCAGGAAAATGTGGTATGCATACGTGCGTGCACATGCACAGACACACACATACACACACACACACACCATTTATATAGTAATAATAATAATAATATATAATATATATAATCCCTCTTCCAAGAACCCATGTGTCCTTCAGAACAGAGTCTGGGGCAGCGGCTCTTCTGGGTGGCATAGACCTCCTTGGCAGATTGGTGAAGCCTATGATCTCTTCTCAGAATAATGACTTTAAATAAATTAAATAAAGATACATGGGATTTCAAAGGAAACTAATTATAGCAAAAAACTGTTATGAAACAGTACATACACACACACACACAAATATATTAATTGTTCATCACTGAACAACAAACAGCATATTAGAGCAACAGGCATTTATTATCTCCCAGTCTCTGCAGGTCAGGGTCTTGGGCATGGCTTAAACAAGTCCTCTTGCTCGAGGTATCTCATGAGGCTGCAATTCAGGTGTCTGCCAGAGCTGTAGTCATCTTGAGATGGTCTAAGGATGAGCCTGCTTCCAAGCTCACTTACAGGCTTGTGGGCAGAATTTGGTTTCTCACAGGACGTCTAACTGAGGGCCTCATTTCCTCATTGATTCTTGGCCAGAAGCTGCCCTCAGTTTTCTTCCTGCGTGGACCTCTCTGCGAGCAGCTCACAACGTGGCCTCTGGCTCTGTCAGAGTGAGTAGGTAAGAGGGAAAGTGAGTATGAGCAAGACCGAAGTCATAATCTTTTCTAACCTCCTCATGGATGTGACACGTGACACCTCCTCATCTTTGCCCTGTTCTATCCTTGAGAAGTAAGTCATTAGGTTCAGCTCACAGTCAAGGGAGAGCTGAATACGAATTGTGAAAGCCAGAAGGCGGAGTCATTGAAGGTCATCTTAGAGGCCTGACTACCACAAGTGCTCTATATGCTATTTAAAGGCATCAAATAAGATCTAGCAGAAGTCCAGTAACTAATGTAATTTTGAAATAGACATGAGGGCAATATTTCATGATCTCTGCCACAGCTGACATATGATATGAAATTATCTGTCATTTCTGTGGATGATAAAAATCACAGCTATTGCTAACAAACTGTGTGTTGTCTACATACACAAGTGATAGAAATAGTAAATTTCAATTAGACATGAGTGCAAATCAAGCTGTATTTTTTCATTATTCTTCACAGGCCTCCAGGCGTCTGCCTTCTGATCCTTGAAGAGTTCATGGACCTAAGTTAAGAACCTCCCCTCAAGAGACTGAATGTAGGCAGAGATGGCTTATTGGTTCATCACAGATTATGCGAACTACCTACTGTTAAGATCCCCAGATTCCGTGGGGCTAAAAGGTGTCCCAAGAGGGTTTACAACACGGTCAGAAGTTAGTGGGGTCACTTCTGTCCAAGTTCTTGTTTTCAGGCTTGTGTGTCTAAAAAATACATTTTTCCTTCTATATTCTAAGGTGAGTAGGGTTTAAGATTAGACTCACGTTAACTAGATTTGTAAGAGGCAGATATATAATACATAGTTTATTCACTCAATCACTAATCTAGTCAATCATTCATATAGTCTTCCATTCCTTCAGAGCACATTGTTAGGTGCACACTGATTGACCACTACTGTGTGCCAGGTACAAGATACGTGCTAGGATCAGTGGTCTCTGAATAGTAGTTGACATAATCCCTGATCTCTAGGACCTCATGGTGGTTTACAGTAGTCCTTGACTTCCCTTTTCACCCACGACACATGCATGACCACGATATTTACTCTAGGGAAAACCATTTTACTTCCACCCATTCCTGCATTAGCTCACTTCCAAATAGAAATTCTTGTAGTCTCAGAAGAATTGGGGAGGAAGCTTCTATCCTGGTCCGTTCTTCCCCATGAAAGAATGGCTTTCAGAGTCACGGGTGTGTTCTCTCAGCTTCTACCTCTTCTGTAAGGTCAGTTCCCTGGGACAGCCCTTGCCCTGAGTCAGGGTGATAGGAGGGGTGGAGAAGAGAAGCAGGGAGGAAAGGAAGAGAGAAGATTACAGTTTTCTAGCTGTAACTGCGTAAGTCATCTCTATCAGAAGAGGCAGGAGTGGGAAACCTATTTTTGACTCATTTTTAAGCCATGTGTTCTAATCCATATTTACCAGCATAGGGAAACAGTTCATCCCCACCTTACTCTCAGGTCTACGGCTCATTTGAGGGGGAAAAAAGTATAATTATCACCAAACATTTTACACCTTTTTATGGCCATGTCCAGGATGACACCCAATTCTCCATGTCCTAACTACAACTCCACACTTTTTTTCCCCAATGCATGAATGGCATTTTTAAGTCTATAATTCACTTTAATGGGTCTTCATTCAACAAATATGTATTAAACAACGGGCTAGATGCTAAGGATTGAGGCAGGAATAACGTCAAGGAGAAGGTGCTGCTCTCATGGAGCTTACATTCTGGAGGACAGAGACAGGTTACAAACAAGTAAACCAAGATATGGATGAGATCCTGAAAAGTTCTTTAGAAAAAATAGTCCACAGGCTGGAGAGAGAATAACCAGATGACGTTTATGTTGACAAGGTGGCCAGTGGCCAGGGAAGTCTTCGCTGAGAGGAAGGCATTTGACCTGAGACCTGTAGGACAAGAAGCTGGGCAGGAGAAGGTTGGGCAGAGAACATTCCAAGCAGAGAAAACTGCATGAGGCCTGAGTTTCAGCTGAAGCTTGGCATGTCTGGAGAAAGAAAAGATTTGCATATTTTTACTTAATTGTGTTCAAAGGAAAATACATGTGATAATCTTGGTTTGATGTACAAGTGGTATGAATGCAGAGATTACTTCTAAAATATTTTTTCTTTATGTGTATATACATTAATAATTTTACCTATCACACTTTGGGAAAACTAACCACTTTTAGGCCCATACTAGAGAACTTACGGATAATTCTAGAGACTTGAATATCTACCAACCTCAGTAACTGTCTTTCTAGAACAGCACTGGATAACTCCTGCCTTAGTCTTCCTTTTATCCTAGACTCTACAAATATTCTCTTCATGTTGATCCATTGACATACCTTAGACTTTTAAACAATCCATTCAAGTAGCAACCATCATGCAATGTCATCCAAAAAGATGTCTGATTTCTAAAAAGTTTTGGCCCTTCTTCCTGTCCTTGGTGAGATTCCTTCACCTCTAAGGACCTCTGCAATATTATAAATATTCAGCATTTATTATATATAATTTTTTCCTCTACCTGTTTTCAAGTTCCACTCTGGGAGCAAGCCGTACCCAGTACTTCCTCTTCTCCCTCCCTGTGTCCTCTGCCGCTGAGTGAGGCCACACTTAGTCCAGCTGGCAGATCTTTCTACCCTCCCTTCCCTCTAAATATCCTTGGCCTCAAATGCTAATTGAAGAGCTCAGAAAGAGGACATTAAGAAGGGGGCTTTCTGGTGGGCAACAATGAATCACCGGCAGAATCACTGTTCAGACAGGCGGAGACGGGTCTTTCTCGCCATCTGATGAGTCACCACTGTGGTGTGGGGGAGTGGACGGTCAGCCAGACAGATAATGTGTCAGTCTCTCTCCTCGGCCTGACCCTGGACATCAAAATAGGCTGCAGTTCCCTCCTTCTGGGCCCATTGCTGGCATTTGACCTAACGCTATAGAAATTTAAACCAACAAGGACGGTAGTAAAGTTCAGCTTTCTAGGCCATTGAGCTTAAGTTTAAACATTGTAACAGAGATACTTAAGAGAGGCTTGTCACGCTGGTCAGCGACTACCTAAGTAATGTCTTGCTGAGTCAGGCCATCCTCTCCACTAATATAAATGCTCTGGGCTTCATCTAAATGTTCTCATCATTGAGGTCTCGTTTCATTTGACAGTGAACAATGCAGAGCAGATGAAAACCACTTTCTACAAGGCAAACAATAACAGCTTCTGTGAATTAAACATCTACTGTGCCAGGCACTTGGCAAACATCATCTCATTTAATTCTCACACCTTCTCAAGTAGGTATGGCTCACTCTATGATAGAGACCATGAAACTGAGGCTCAGAAAGTTTCAGCCATTTCCCCCAAGTGCTCACGGGTAGGAAAGGGTAAAACTGACTATAGAATAAGGTGATTATAGAACTTATCATCCAAAACAGGGCACTTTTGAAAGTAAAAGGGAGAACTAGTAATAATTTCACAGCCACAGATGCAAAGGGGAAATGTCCCAGCAAGCCAGAATATAAAAATGCCTGAGTTTTGAACCAGTGTTTTTGGCTCTACAGCCCAGCACATTCACCCAGTTGGTTGTCAGGAAGGTAATAGGAGAAATTTGTAATCAGCTCCCCTCATTCTCTTTTGACATTTTTGCTTGCTGTTTCCTTTCTCTCTCTTTTCATTATGAGATAGTAGGATGAAGCCCAAACCTCTGTGCTTTTAAGCAGCCCTGTGGATGATTCTCCTGTGCTGCCAGGCATGGGCACTCCTGAGGATATGCTCTTTGAGGACAGGCAGTTGTTCTTGTTCATCATTGTATCTTAATAAGTAACATACAGACATGCAGTAAGTGCTTAATAAATGTTCATTCAATGAATAAGTTATTGAATGAATGCAATGATCTGCAGAAGCAAGCGAGGATGAGTATCACTGTGTATCTGAGTAATAAAAATGAGTTTGGGACATCCATATAAAGAGAAATGAGAAAGAGGAAACAGTGGACGCATCTGCCAGGCTGAGCTTCAATTTCATCGTTAAGGCAGAGCCACCAAAGTCTCTGAGTAGGAAAGTGACACAGTCTGATTTGCATTTTGGAAAGAACATGTCTGTGATTGTGTTCCAGGTTAAGCCTGTGAGAAACTAGACACTGGAGGTATTTAAAACATGTTTTCAAAAGGGCTACTGAGTGCCCAGCATAATATAACCTTTTACATATTTGAACAATCTCCAAGCCAGGGCTAGTACCACCCCTGCTTGGAGTCAGAATCTGGACACACTCTCTGGACCATAATTGGTCACCTCATTGGGACACCTAAGAGCCACTCTGTCGGGGGAATATTTTCTGTCTGTTTGTTTTCTGGCTTCTTCCTTGATATTAGCAGTTCTACCATGGGGTAGCTGGCTGGGTGGAAGGGACCCACCACATTCAGGAAAGTGAGGGGCAATTTCTGTGATTATAGCAGACCCATTCACTGGACTTTTTCCTGACATCTCTCCCTGACCTTTATGCCTCCGAGGGCCTGGACACAGTGCAGCAGCTCTCCAGCTGGGACAGGGCACATGAAGGGTTATCATACATGAGTGTTCCACCAAGTGGGGCTGTGGCTATTATTGCCCCTGCAGAGCAACCCAGGGGACCTTGCTGTGCACAACCCTATGTCCTGGGGTTTCCCGCAAAGCTTTGCCCTGTCTGGTGAGAAGGCTGCCAGACAGTGTGAGATGAAAGACACCGTTCACACTTAACGGTGACTGGAATGTGCGCCATGTAAATCAGATGATGTGGAGACCAATTCATAACCACTTCACAGTTCAATGATGAATGGTGGTTCCCTTGTACTGACTCTTTAACTAGCTCCCTTCCAGGGACAGGTGGCTTCCGAGATCGTCTTAAAGCAGTGTGGGATGTCCAGGCCCTGCCCAGGTCCTATCCTTTCTTCCAGCACCATCCACATCCCTGAAATCTTCTCACAGCACCTGGTCCTCACCTTGTTCCTCTTGTTGAATTCTGTTTCCTCCTTGATCTCCACCTTGCTACATTCATTCCACAGGCATCTCTGTTCTATTAGGCAGTCCTTTCCCTAAGCATTTCCCAGGGATGTTATAACCTAACCTTCAAGCTTTGTCAGCACTTACCAGCAGAATTCTGCTTGTATCTTGGGCCAGAATGAGTCACAGCGCACCCCTAACTGCAGAGAAGGTTGGGAACTCTGATACTTGACTTCCCAGCTTCCATACAAGAGGTAGCAATGGAGAGGAGTGTTGGGAGAAGCTTTTAGTGGGGAATCAACAGTGTTGACTCCAGGGCTACCATTGTCATTCTGTTTTACAGATTATAAAACCAAGTCACACGGAAGATAAATAACATGCTCAACATCACCCAGCCAGAAGTGCCGGAGACATGACTGACCTCGCAGGGGACAACTCCTGAGTCTGTGCTAGGAACAGCCAGTCTTCCTGTGAAGGTCCTCACAGAAAGAGGAAGAAGTAGATGAATTCATGATAAACTAAGAGGTAGAACCATGGCCAGTGGTCTTTGGGAGAAAGTGGGATCAAGGACAACTCCAGGATTCTGCCTGAGATGGGACACACTAGAGCATTACTTGGGAATGTAAATAATAATATCAAATTGCTGAATGATTTCCATGTGCTACTCTCTTTATACACCAGTTCTAATTCTGATAAGCTTGTATCGTTATCTTCTTTTTGAAAAGCGTGAAAACAGAGGCTCATAGAGATCATATTATTTTCCCCAAGTCGCAATGATGGTAAACACAGATGACAGCTGGACATCAACTGGGTCTGGGTGGCCTCCAACTCCAGTGACTCAACGCTGCTCCACACGGCCTTCTTACAAGGAAAAATGAGAACAGAGGCCGCAGGCCGGCTTCTGTGAATCGCGTGTTGTTGGAATTCCTGTCCTTCCTTGACCCAGATTTGTAAACAGAGGCTGTGGAAGCCAAGGTACACATGGGCAGATGCAAACGAGCCGTCTGATGAGGAGAAAGTCGAATGTGCTCAGGGTGGGTGCGCATCTGCCTGAAGCACGTGTCCCTGAGGCTTCCTGCTGTCTCCCCAGCCGGCTGACTTGGGCCCGGTGGTCTGCAGATGGCCGTGAAGTGTCTCCGGGCTGTCCAGCTGCAGCCTGGGTGGGCTGGCGGGGATTTTTTTGTTGTTGTTGGGGAGTGATGCTGAGGGCTCTGGGTGGCCGCTGACAGAGCTTCCTTCTGCTACTTTTAGGCTTATTGCTGAGTGCTTTTAAAGGGAAGCAGGGGAAATAAGCAATGGTATTTGCTGTGACCCGGAACTGAAATGCCTCACTTTAGAAACAACTGTCATTTCCTCACTCATCCAAGAAATACAGGTTGAGCCCCTTCAGAACAACAGGCCCTGTCCTCAGTGCTGTGGACGCAGCAGGTATGCACACAGAGTACCTGTCCTCAGGGAACTTTCAGTTCATTGGATGGAGACAGACAACCCATAAAGATTTGTATAAATGTCTAATATGTCTACAGAAAGAGAATCGGCAAAGTAAAGGGGTGAAGATTGAAAAGGTCAGGGGATACTGCTCTGATGAAGCGACATTTGAGCAGAGACCCAAACAAAGCAAAGCAGTGGGCCCAGCAAATATCCGAGGCCAGGATGGTTTCTGGCAAAGGGAACAGAGAATTCAAAAGCCCTGAGCAAGGCGGGCCTTCACAGCCGTAGGCGTTCTACAGATGTGTAAAGAGCACCGTGCTTGGGGAGGATCGGGAAGCCACGTCCTGGGAACAAGTGAGAGAACTGAGGTGTTGAGGGCAGAAAAGGGAAGCCTTGTGAGTAGCAGGCAGCTTCCCTCACATAAAGCTTTCAAATGTGGAAGAAGGATAAGACTTTTTATTACGTAATGCCAGAAGTTGGAACCAAAGACCAGACCAGCTGGAAGCTGCTAGAGGCTGTTTGCAAAGGTGTGTTGAATAATGCCCAAAGCATCAACTCTAAAGATAAGGGACCCGATATTAGTGTGCTAAGGCTGCCATAATAAAATATCATAAACTGGAGGCCTTACACAACAGAAATGTATTTTCTCACAGTTCTGGAAGCTGGAAGTCTGAGATGAAGGTGTTGGCAGGGTTGGTTTCTTCTGAGGCCTCTTTCCTTGGCTTGTGGGTTACCATTTTCTCTGTATGCCTCCACATGGTCCTTTGTTGGACCATCTGTGTCCTAATCTCCTCTTTTTCTTCTTCTTTTTTTTTTTTTTTTTGAGACAGAGCCTGGCTTTGTCACCCAGGCTGGAGTGCAGTGGTGCGATCTCTGCTCACTGCAACCTCCGCCTGCTGGGTTCAAGCGATTCTGCCTCAGCCTCCCAAGTAGCTGGGACTACAGGTGCATGCCATCATGCCTGGCTATTTTTTTTTTTTATTTTTTGTATTTTTAGTAGAAATGGGGTTTCACCATGCTGGCCAGGCTTGTCTCAAACTCCTGACCTCATGACCCACCTGCTTCAACCTCCCAAAGTGCTGGGATTACAGGCATCAGCCACTGCGCCTGACCCTAATCTCCTCTTCTTGTAAGGACACCAGTCATATGGGGTTAGAGCCCACTCACATGACCTCATTTTTACATAGTTACTTCTTTAAAGACCTTATCTCCAAACACAGTCACATTCTGAAGTACTGGGGGT